TCCTGTGTGTGGGTTTACTGTAACTCTAGAAAGCCAACAAAGTGCTGAATTTCCAGTATAATGTCAAAAATGATTCTTTCACTTTCTACAATCGAAAAGCAGCTTTTATTTAACATATTTAGATCTTTTCACACAAAGATTATGAAACCTAATTTGAGCCTGTTAACCTTTTTCTTGGTAATCCATAGAAAAGCACAGCTGCACTACTAAAAACATACTGTTTATCCATGATCACCAGGGCTGGGCAGCCTGCAGCGTTCCAAAGATCAAAGTTTAAAACAGACGTGCCCGTCCTTCCTAATTCCTTGTATTTAAGGACATGATACCACCAAATCTAGACTTGCTGCTGCTAAAAACTTGAGCTGAGCTTCAACCTGTGTTCGTGTGTGAGAAAGGTACGTCCTGGCAACTTGATAACCATGAAATGAAGTAGGACAGAGCTTAATAGTTGTAATGAAACAGTCCTCTGATTACTTAGTCATTCCTTTTAAATTAAAGTAAATAGTGTTAAGGATTTTCTTTTTTTTTTAAAGAAATATTTTTGCAACCGAGTTTTACCCCTCCTTTTTTTTTTTTTTTTCATTGCCTATGTGGGAAAACTAACACGTTTGTATAAGGATAAACTGGGAAGTCTGTGGTTTCCAGCATGCACATTTTGAATAATATTTATACAGACTATTATTTAATGGGCCATATAAATATTTATCATATGCTGTAGCCTTTTGATCATAAATGCTTGTTTGAAAAGCCATTCTGTCCCTGCTGTGATTTGCAGAGAAAGAGGCCATTGCTGGTTTAGTGCTTGGAGGGAATTTTGGCTTCTTGTCCTGCCTTAGCAGTTACAGTCATGGATTAACACAGTCAAGCTGAACATGGCTTTTAATTTTATTTTTTTCTCTGTCCCTCACCTTCTGTTTGCAAATTCAATTAATAAATTGTAAATACGAGGCCCTAATTTTGCAGTGGACAGACAAGGCTCTGTTAAAGTGCTGGAGGCCTTTTTTCTTGGCTGCAAACTTGCTCTTGGCTTTCTGAGTTAGATACTTCAAGGGGATAAAAGGTTCTATCTCCACTGCTTTCCACCACTTGGACGTACATAAACATGTATCATCCCTGCATCGGATATTCTGGTGTCATGTTGGGAATATTGCACGTGAAGAATGGACCCGTCTAGTCTTTTATTTCAGTCATTTTATTATTTCAGACGTTTTATTTCAGTCATTTTTCTGGGTTGCTGTTTTCCTCGTGATTGCATTGCCTGCCGAAGCTGTATGTTGAGAGTCCAATAGATACAAAACCCAAACCAAAGTTTTCTTTGCATAACGAAGTTTTCTTTGCACGTGGGAATGAATGTTGGTGTCCGTATTCCAAATCAAGAAATTTGAACCTGGGACCTTCTGCTACCTCTGAACTACATTAAAGAGATTCTTGATTTCTAATTTGGAGCTTCCTCGTGTAACAAAGGAATCTTCTGGAAGCTAAACAGAATGGCAACATTCCTCTTCAAAATTCTTCTTAAAGTACTTTGGCTAAAGATTTTCCACTAGCCTGACTGCTGATTCTCAAGAAATACCTTTGGGCAGAGTCCATAATTGGTGACATTTATGACCTGGAGATGACAATGCTTTCCGTGGATGTGCTTGATAAGTAGGTGGCATACCAAGCCATTGGTATTCCAGAAAAACCCTTGGCATCAAATGATGTTTTTGCAAGCAGATCAGATCCGATTGCAGATCTTATTTACTTCGAACAGCCTCAGTAACTCGGTGCTTGAAAAAAAGATTAATATTTACTTTTACCTTTTCTTTCATAAGACATGGAGTATTGCTTTGTGAATCTAGGGGAGCTTTACTCAGAGAAAGACCGGTTAAAATAGGTTTGTGGTTCTTGGTTTTGGACTCTGTCACTTAACTGGTTCCTGTGAGCACTGATTTACAGCAATAAACTCCTGGATGTGCATGGGCTGATAGGGGCTGCTGGAGCACGTAAACAAACTCTGCTTCCTGCCCAGTCACTCACACGTGCACATCCTGGCTGCTTAGTAAGGAAAAAAAAGGAAAGTAAACATTACATGGGCAGATTGGGTTCCAGGTTTCAAATGTTTGTGGGAAGAATCCAATGCAAAGCCATAATTTTAAGTGCTGAGTAGGAGGTACTGTGAGCTTAATTCTCTAACATCTGTTAAGCTTGTTCTCTAAGTAGCAAAAACACATTAATGAGCTAAAATCAAGGCTGCCTTACAAGGGAGAGAAATTTAGAGTAATATTGTGTGTGAGAGCAGGAGACAGGATGTAAAATACTCCTTTTGTTATTTGTATTTTGTGAAAAGCAAGGAAGAAAGATTTGCCTGTGTTTAAAAAAAATAATAATCTGTTTTGCAGCTTGTGGTTTATTCTCATTTTTTTCTGAGTCAGCAGCTAAAGGCAGTGCCGAAATAGGGGAAAACCAGGGAAATTCGTGAGATAGTATCAGGAACAGTCTTATGCAATGTCTTTATAGTAAAGCTTCTCCCAAGTAACTAGCAGCACCTGCAGCCAGCCTTTGCAGCTCTGAGGAGATGGAGTGCAAAATTAAAAAGTGAACAAACACCATCTTTTGAAAAGAACGTCTTAAAACTGCTTTTCCAGCCAAGGGCTAAGAGGGAGGTGCCGAGCGGGCGTCCCCCCAGGTGACAGATGCAGCCTTAGTCACCCACGTCCCCTCTGTGGCAGAGGCATCGGCTTTTGTTAGTCTGACCAGGTCACAGAGCCAGGGCCAAGAAAATAAAGGAGCTTTCTTGCCAATATTCCTTAGTGTTAACTCACGGCACACCATTTTTAGCTGCTTGCTCATCGCTGGAACACATGACCTCGCTTAACAAGATTAGTGTGTGGCACCTCAGCTGCTGGGCAGAGCCAGTGCTCGCAGAGAGGAGCCACAATATACTCTGTAGCTTTGAGTTTTTCCAAGTTTCTGACACTGTTAGAAGCTGATGACCTGTACAGTGGTGCCCCTGCCATGGTGTGTGCAGAATGCAGCTCATAACTGCTTTGGTCTGTGCTGGGCTGCTCAGGAGTTTTAGTGATGGATAGAACTCCCTTGTGCTGTCCAAGTAGAGAACAAAAAATGGGCCCTGGACCCAGCAGTGGGGTCTAAGCATGAAGTGCCAGCTTGAAGCAGGACAAAATTATTGTGTGATAACAGATCTCCGCAGACTGACCACATTCCCATGAGCTGTTTAAAGGCTGGGATGAGGGGAAGCCTCAGTAGGTTTCTTTTGCCAAGGTGTTGTCTTATGCCTTTTTCAGGGCAAATGAAACTTTGCCCAGCTGTTACACTGCTTAATTATTACCCAGAATCATGTTTGGAGTTTTCTGAGATAAAGAGCTCCTTTTTTTTCCTTCTTTATTTTACCTGCTACCTCTTAGCCTCAGCGATGATAGATTTGTGATGTCCATCAGCAGCAGTGGTTACAAGCCAGCCATGGATGTGAACAGCCACCTGTATTGGGCCAGTGCTATGTTCAGACTGACAGCCAAGCATAGTTCCTGACCCATACTCAAAATTATCATTAAAAAAGAGAAAAAAGGATTAATTTGATATGTGAAAAATCATATTCTACTAAGCATTTCTTTCCAATCTTTCCCTCTTTGCCTATGCCTCTCCCTCTAACCACCCTTTAGTCCCCATCCAGAAGTAATCCAGGTCACTTATTTGGGGGAGGTGGGCTGTTTTTAAGTAGAGCCATTTTGATGCTCTGTAAATACCATGTGTTCGTCAAGTGGTAATCGATCCATTCACTTTCTGGAAGTCAGAAGCTGTGTGTCAGCTGAGTTTCACGTGGTTCAGAGACGTAACAGATTCACACAGGCACTAAACTTGGTACTTGTCTGATGTTTCAAATACTTGTACCAGCTCTTACTTAGCATTCTCCCAGCTCGGTTAAAATGTAAATGTTAACTATTAATTAAGAACAAACTGTGAGAAATTTAGAACAGTGAATTTGTCACTATATTAAATGTGAAACAGTTAATATAGTGAAATATGCAACTCATTGTGAATAATTAAATCAATTAACTTAACCTCACTTTGTTCTTGTAGGTTGTCAGAAAGCAGGCAGAGATTTCCTCGGATGCTCTCATAACACTTTTTCAGCAAATTATTTTCTGAGGCTTTAAAGTTGAGTGGATTGATGGTGGAGAGCTCTTAAAAACCTAACTTTTTATCTCCTTCTTTTTCCTTGGGTAACATGTACCAGATTGTCACGTGTTTACTTTAATTATCAGCATCGCACTAGTTTTTTTTGGAAGAGGAAACTGTTACCAGAATCTGCTGAGCTCCAGCCTGACTCACTGTCCCATTCAGCAGTAAAATGTCACTCAGGAGCTGGTTGGTTTGATGGGAGGCAGCAACTCTTGTGATCCTCATTCCCTTCCAGGTCAGGGCTCAGTGGAGCCCAGCCCGGCCCCCCTTTCACTGGTTCAGGAGTGGAATTTGTTTGCTTTGAGACAGTGAATGACCTGTGGTGGTTCTGGCTGTCTTGTCCAGAGGGGAATTCAGCTTTCCAGGCATCACCAGCATCCCCATCTGCCAAGAAAACCCAGGAGCCTCTGGGTTGAAATTTCCCTTGTGTGTGAAGCACCAGCACAACCTTTGCTTCCCTTCCTCTCTTTTTGCCTCTTTCTCCCCTTATGTAGATTGATACTCTGTGACAGCAGCGCATTTTCATTGTATGAGTGCAGGAATTTTATCACTACCTGCATATTTTACATGCACATTTACAGTTTGCTTTTCAGGAGCTTCTGTGCCGTGCAGCTTATGTGCAAACATTTGAAGAAAAGTGGTAGAACTAGTGAAAGACTTGAAAACTCTAAGTAATTAAAAATTGCCAAGTGAAGACTTGCTGCAAAAGTGAGTTATCCTGTGAAGTGCCTGTACTGCTTCTCTCCTGCCCTGTTCAGCACAGTTTTCCATCATCAGTCGTTTTATCTGCTTTTAATCCTTTTTTTTTCCTTCCACAGGTTTATTAAGAATGCACAGTAAGAAGACTGCAGTCAGGTACTATGTTGGGATTGATGTTGGCTCAGCGAGCGTTCGAGCAGCTTTGGTCGATGGCTGTGGGACAGTGGTGGCACATGCGGAGCAGCCCATCCAAATTTGGGAGCCCCAGCCAGACCACTACGAGCAATCCTCTGCAGACATCTGGGCTGCCTGCTGCTCAGTCACAAAGGTGGGCAAAGGCAAAGAAAATGAAGGATTTGTGTTGCAGGTAGTTCTTCAAGTTTTGAATGTTTAAGGTCTTGCAGTCCCTGTGTGTCACTTCCCTTCAGGTCAGTTTGTGCTGTGTAACTTGTAACCTCACCTTGAGGATGATGGAGCCTCAACAGTGTTTGTTTTATTGGTGAGGAGCTGAAGGCTAGAGTGAAAAAAACTTCTGCTACAATTGCAAATAGAATGAAAGGCCCTTCTTTGTGCTGTTTTGGCAGGGGGAGGACTTACCCACTGCCTTCAGGTCTCACATCTGTGGGGTTTGTTTTGCTGGTGTTTGTTCTACCCACGAGACAGTTCTTTGAGGAGTCAAGGTTGCTTAGAGCCTGGCAGTGCATATATTTGAAAATGTGCTCATACTGCACTGGAGTCACAAAGGAGCATTTATTGTATAGAAATTGTTATCTGGTTTGTGGATGGTCCCCAACATAACAGCTGTGGTCCTCATTATAAGAGGATCCAGTATTGTAAGATCAAAATAAATGATAAATGTTTGTGGATAACATCAAGCATAAACCCAGATAGAAATAAACCTTACTGTAGGGGGAAAATTTGTGCCACTGATCCAGGGCTCTGCCTGTACCTGCTGGCAGTAAAGGTAAATCTGTGACCTTGCTTGGCAGTGCACACAGAGGCCATTTCATCTTCCTTAGTAAAGCTCAGGCCTGCTCCATGTTCTAGGGTTGGCTTTTTAAATATTCATGACAGGCTTGGTAATTTGCAGATGGACAGTTCACCCATTGTCTTGTTATTGATCAACCTTTTCAAACATTAATGAGCTTGGCTCTGTAGAAATGCCCTGAGATGGAGAGGAGGAGGTGAGGGGAAAGGAAGGGAAAGAAGGGAGTGACAGGAATGATAGGGAAGAACAGCTTGTTGTTAAAGACAAGCAAGTCTTACTCTTTATTTGATTTTTCTTTGTATGAGTTCCTTTGTTCTTGCTCTGGACCCCTTTAAATGCAGTCTCTGATGTGTGAGCAATAAAACAGCCTCTGAAACTATGGCTTTTCAGAGCCAGTAAGAGACTGGCACTGTAGCAAGTCTAGTGAAAGTCTTTCCTTATAGTACTAATTAAAATAATGATATTTTTATTGTTGCTGAGAAGTGGCAATTTATTACTCTTGTTCATTTTAGGTGTCTTGCAACCTCCTTTGGCACTTAATCCACGTGGGTGTTGTGTTTTTTTTTCCAGTGCTGCTGGAAGCCATGAAGTTCAGGCATTTTGGGGCAGTGGTGTTTTTTTTTCTTTTTTTTGAAAATCTTCCAAAAAAGTATGATGTCCAAACTCTTGGTAAGATAGAAAAGGTGTGCGTTGCAGAGGTGTTATCACTGCTACAGGTTTTGATGGGTTTTATTTTTGGGACCCTTCAGTATTGCAAGGCAAAAAGCTGTGGCTCAATATAACCAAAGCAATTCTAGAGTATTTATTGCTTCCACAGGTGGGAACTGAGTGAAGTAACTGATGGAAACGCTTGGCCCTAATCCTGTGTCCGTGTTTCACATGCAGCTCAACTCTAAGCTTTCAAAAACAGAAAATAAATGTTGCTGGTTTTCTGCTACATTTATTTTCTGATATTTTTGTGCTTCCTGCTTTATCCAGGACTGTGGCTAGTAAAACTGAAAAGCTATTAAGGACCTCTGAATTCAGTTTTCAGAACCAAAGAATTGTTTGTAATTTATGTTTTTTTGATTAGAAGTGTTAAAGAATACTGAATATAAAGAATTTCACAGTTTGAGCTTGCATTTTTAACTTGTAACTCATTGTCTGTACTCAGTTCAGTGGTACTTGCATCTGAATTGATACATTTGTATTCATGTGTGTTTTGTGTATTTTCAGAAGGTTGTCTGTGGAGTGGATGCTGCCCAGATTCGAGGGGTTGGTTTTGATGCTACGTGTTCTCTTGTTGTTCTGGATAAACAGTTCCAACCTTTGGCAGTCAACTGTGAAGGTAGGACTGCACACAAAAAATGGTGTTACTGTGTGTGTGTTACCACTGGTGGGAGTGAACTTTCCATTTCATCCACGTGCTGGGGCTGACTCTTGGAGATGGAGATGACACAAAACCTTTTTTACAAGAGGATTTTTTTTCCGGTTTTACTGTTTTAATTCTACTGCAAAATTAATTTTGGGATGAGAATTACTGTTTGGCTAAGTATCTGGCATCCCAAGATCAAATTAATTCATCTTGGCTCAAAGAAATTGCTTCTTAGGGAAATCTAGGCTCGTTTTTCTTTTTTGCATGTTTTCTCCTCCTTCAGACTTTGCTGATCATGGCTTTTATAGTCTGTATAAATGCCCATCCACACTGGCTAAAGGAATGCTAAAAATGTTGGTGTTAGTGTAGTCCAACTGCTCGCTCTGTCGTGAAGCTGCAGGCAAGAGGTTCAGTTGTGTATTTTATTATACTGGTGCTCTGTCTTTGTCTAGGACAGTGCTAAACTTCAGAAACTGACTGTGACCTTCTTCTAAAAATCTGGTGGGTTTTATTAGAGTTGATGATTCAGAAGCCTCAAAGTCTTTGTTGCACTTTATTTTTCAATGAATCCCATTTAAGATTAGGTGTGTGCAAAATCAGTAGTTACGGAGACCTACTCACAATTCTGTGTATGTTCTCTTCCTATTCTCAGATATATTTGTCATCTCCTCTTATCCTCCTCAAAAAAACAGCTTTGCCCCCAAAACATCCTTCTCTAAATTTAGATGAGATTATTTATTTTTCAGTTTCAGAGTATCTTACAATCTGTTCAATGCCTAATGATGTCTGGGGCTATTCTGGTCTAATGAGTCAAATTCACTTCTTATTTATTATGTTCTGATATCCCCATGGAACTTGAGAGTGATGGTGTTAAACAAGAAGACAAGAATTCACTGAATATTCTCATGCTGCTGAAAGTCATGCAGTGGTGGGATTTCAGGCAGTTTCAAATTATTCCTCCTGAAACTGTTCTTTGGAAAGAAATTAGGATAGTTCAGCCCATAAGCACAGAAGAGGAAGGAGAATCTCTGTAGCTGTCTAGCTAGCTGACTAGCTGAGTTCATTTCAATTTACAGCAGAGTTGTTCAGATTTTATCACATTTTTAGTCCTTGGTCACCAAAATGCTTCTTTATATTTTTAACTAATTATGTGAACTTTGTCAAGAAGTTTGGGTTCTTTGAAATACAGTCTACGAGAGCATGGTGTTTCAAAGTTCTTGGATGCTCCCAAGTCTGATTGGTTTGTCAGCATTCTCAGTGCTCAGCATGTCTTAAAGTTGGCTCAGAAGGCTGAAATGTTGTTTTTAGATACTTAGTGTGGATTATTAGCTCAAAGAGAATTTGAGTTTTCGATGCAGAAGTGAAAGTGTGAAGCAGCTCAGGGTAACTCACAGTATTGAGGTGGGGTTAAACCAGACCTAAAATAATCTCTTTTTTCCTTTTGTTCTCCCCAGGACAGAACCATAGGAATGTTATTATGTGGATGGATCATCGTGCAGTGAGTCAAGTCGAGCTCATCAATGCAACGCAGCACAGAGTTTTGAACTATGTAGGGGGAGCAATGTCTGTGGAAATGCAACCACCTAAACTGCTGTGGATAAAGGAGGTGAGTACAGTTCACATTGTGGGGCATTTTTACTAGTGATAAATGCCCTTTGTTAATTCCTGAGAATGAGATTTCTAGAAAGTCTTCAGCCTTGGTGTTGAACTCCAAGGTGTGCAAAGTAAGGCCAAGCTTAACTTGTTCTTTTTTCCTCTCAATTACATAGAAAGATATTTGATTTAATTGAAATGGCATGTTTCCTGAGAGGACATTTCATATGCCTTTCTTCTGTAAGATTAGCTATACATAGAAATTTAGGTGCAGGTAATGAATGAGTATCCTGGGATTTAATTATGGAGGTGTATTTCCTGTTCCAGCTCTTGTATCTGAGCATGCTTACAGAGGTGTAGGTGCTGCTTGTGGGCTGGAGTCCCAGAGGCACTGCATCCAACAGAGAGGGGATGTGATGGCTTTGGCTGCTGGCAGAGGAACTCTTCAGTTAAAGATTCAGTTTAGTTCTGTCCCATCAGTAGCAAATAAACCATCTGTAGAGGGAAGATGCCCTGTTTGTAATGTGGAGCTCTACCTCTATCTCCTGTGTTTAAATTCTGTGTGTCACAGATGACATATGGCCTCTTAATAACAACTGTCAGATAAAAGGAGAGACACTTGCTACTTGAATTTTTTATAACCTCCTCCAGCCTGGCTTTTACGTTTGGCCTCAGTGATTCTCACGGTCACTTTAACAAAGCCCAAAAGTACTTGCTGCCAGTTTCAAGTAGTCCAAGTCTCCTGTCCTTGCAAACATGAGATATCATATCAGAACAAGGTGCACACTGGGGAGAGTCAAAGGAATTAACTGGTAGAAGCAGGTACTGACAGATTAATGATAATAGACAACAGTGAAAGTTGATAATGAAAAACCAGTATCCATCTACTAGTTCTTCCCTTCTTGAGCAATGAGTATCATACATCAGTCATTTTATAAATAATAAAATGTAAGCTGTAAAAACCTTAAACTGATCCATTGAATTTAAAACATTTTTATATTGCAAGGTCTGGAATATCAGTACCTGACTGATCAGGAAACCCAGATTATGAGGTGTCCAAATGTGCCCACCCAGGGCTGTAAGTGTCTGCTGGGTAAGCCCTCTGCCATAATTGCTGTAGTTTAAAGGGGAGAGCATTGCAGGGCTTGTTCCCTCCATGAGCCAGTGGGTAGGACACAGCACTCACCTGATCCTGTGTGCCAGTCAGGAGCAGGGATTGCCTGGCAGAAGGTGTTACTGAACAGGGCTTGTTCATGTGTCCCTTTTCAGCTCCTGACATAACAGATAAGGAGATTATTATCCTTAAGAGAGGTTTTTTTCCCTCAGTATGTGCTTTGCTGAGCTGCTCACGAGACAGTTCCTGAGTGGGCTGGGAATGACTCACCATTAAACTGCTTATGCTTGTCCTGCTTAGCTCAGGCACCTCAACAACATCTACAGCAGCACCTGAGCTGGGGAGAGGAACAGCAACAGCTACCATGGGGTCAGCTGTAATCAGCTGAGATTTGGGCGTGGAGTGCCCAGCTTTTGAGCTTTGGAGAGGTACAGGATGGAGTGTTCTTACTGCTTCTGTACTCATTGCAAAGTAGGAGGGTGAAAGGAATTGTCTGAAGAGGAAAGGTTTGGTTTCAGTGCCAGTCACAGTAATGGATCTGTGCATTACATGACATCGGGGCTGTCAGCAAAGGGTCATGTTGGCCTCTGGCAGCTCAAATTCAGCCTCATGTAGTGCAAGTGTCATCACTTTTTGCCAAGGAAGAAAAATGTTACAATAATTTTGAATGTCAGGTTCTCCAAAAGAGAACTACAACAGAGTTTACACATAAGTTGTTACTCAGTGCACTGTCTTGAACTGGTCTACAAATAGAAATTAATGAATTTTTTTCAGATTCTTTGTTACCAATATTTTATAGATAATAAACTGTGACACAGGTATTAAAAGTATGGTCAGAAAAACTACTTATGGTACTTAATGTGTCCTTCCTGTTTTTTGTGCTATATCTTTATTTTCTGTATTTAGTGTATTTCCCTCCTGCTAATACTACACAGTTCCCAGAGACATAGCAGAGTAAAATTTTGCTCTAACTCACGTATCATAAGGAAAAAATACTCTGTTGACTTTTTCTCTGAATTCCCTGGACCTTATTTTGAACTCCCCAGGAATTTATTGTTTCTGCTGTTGAATGGTTTTGTGCTGTTTTCCCTCTATACATCTTTGCATGGGATTGGTGCTGTGCACATTCCACAGCTGCTTGCATTGATTTAGGTTTTGCAGAGAGGGTGCAGTGGGGAAAAGAACTGCTTTGAGTCTGAAGTTAAATAATAAAATAGAAGTCAAATAATAAAGGTAAAATAACCTGGTACTAATAATTAAAAACAATTTATAAATCCATTGAAGTAACCAGCAGAGTCATCTTTGGTGTCATTGGAAAAATGTCTGATACCTTTCTTTTAATCAAACCTCATGTATTTGTAACAATGAACAGCATCTAATTAGGAGAACCTTAAAATTAGTCCCCATGAAATATGTTCCTTTCAGTGGATCCTCATTTCTCTGGAACTCACAGAATTGTTTTCTCAAGCTTCAAAGTTTATTTAGGCTGGCATAAATATAATTGTTTATTTTTGAGTTTATTGCCTAACCAATTAATATTCAAGATTTCCCTTGACTTTTCCATATTCCACAGTTTGTGGATTCAGTCATATAAAACCTCAGTCCTGCTAGTACAAGATAAGTTGCACAAAAGTGACTGTAAATTAAATTAGTTTGTTAAGAGTCATTTGTGAGACTAATGATTTAGGAGATTAACTAGGTGCCCTTTTGGAAGTAAGTTATTTGAAGAACTGATGCTAAATGACCCTTTGGACTGTTGTTACACCAATAGTTAATTGTGTGTACATTGTGATCAAAGCCTCCCTCTCCCTTTCCATGGTACTAACCTGACTCTGGAGGGCCACATTAAGAGATCCTGTTGTCTCATGTTTTCCCCTGGGAGTATCCAAAAACAGGGAGTTTCCCTGTAGTATCCAAAAACCCCAACCGCTGTGAGGAAAGTTCTGACATGGGGCAGTTCAGCAGTGTTGGCAAGTTGTGAGGCATTAGTGTCTCTCAGAGAAAGGAGTTGAATTTCTATTGCTTGGAGAATTTTCATCCAAGCAATTAAAAGTATTTCTGAAGAATATGACTTTGAAAATTTACTCTGAATTGGTTGCAGTAATAAAGAGGGAGGAAAGGGGAGAAAGGACTAAGGTGGAGAGGAACTTTTGGTAAGGGCATGGAGTGATAGGACGAGGGGAAGGGCTTCAAACTGACAGAGGGCAGGGCTGGGTTAGAGATTAGGAGGAAATCCTTCCCTATGAGGGTGGTGAGGCCCTGGCACAGGGCCTGTGCAGCCTGAGGCTGTGGCTTCCCCATCTCCAAAGTGTCCAAGCCCAGGTTGGACAGGGCTTGCAGCAACCTGGTGTGGTGGAAGGTGTCCCTGCCCATGGCAGGGGATAGAACGAGATGAGCTTTGAGGTCCCTTCCAACCCAAAGCATTCTGTGATTCTGTGATGACCTAACTGTGCTTTTCCATTTCCATCATCCTATTCCTAGAACTGAAGTCAAGGATGGCCTCACTGACTGTAAGGAGTGAGCTGACACCACTGTAAGAGAAGTAGATACTAGTCCTTATCTCTTTTGTTATGCTTTTTTGTTATGCTCAATTTGTTTTTATTTGAGGAAGGATTTACTCTCATCTGCTTCTTTTTTACTTTTTTTTCCATATAATGCATTCTCTTTAACATTTCATCTCCTTACACATAATAGAGATTTAGCTAGAGAAAAGAGGCTTCAGGATGTTTTCTGTTCTTACAGCTCTTCATCTCTGTTCCATTTTGGCCTTGAATTAAGAAAATAAACTTTGAAGGCCATAATAGGCTTTTTGAGATCTTTTGTTTGATTTGCAGTGCCTTTCATTCAGTTTAGTTTGATCAGTGCTGAATCATTTCACCCTCTAACATCTAGTAGTCAGTCTCCATGAAGTGTTTGTGATTGCAGATGGGTGTTCCTGTGGCAAAGCCACCCCTGAAGTGGAGTTTGTGTCAGAGACAGCTGCAGTCAATGATCAGCTGAGTGCAGCTCCTGTGTAGCCTATAGGCCAGTCTGGGTGAAGTGGGCACATCTGTGGCCCACTTAGGAGGAGCATTTTTCTGCTTCTGTGGACCATGTGTGGTGAGAGAGAGAGTCCAGTGTTAAATCTGTAGTGTAAAATAAAAGAAATACATGATTTTCCAAAAGCTAATTTGTGTGGATGCAGCCACATTTGACTTTTGAATGTGGTCAACCAAACCCAAAACATTAGATAAAGTTGAAGTAAAGAATCATTATCCTGTGACAAATATTTAGAAGCTAGCTGGAACATAATTCTGACAAGGTCTTGCTGAAGTCAGTAAGGTAAGTGAATGTCGGCTTCACTGAAAAGGAAAGGGGTCTTTCAAAATAGCTAGTTAAATTCACTCTTTTTGCTTTTATTTCCTTAGATTTCTTTGTGGTCTAGAATTATCTTGCACAACACTATTGCAATAGTTCTGTAGTTGCAGGTGCATTTTTTTGCAGCAGTTCTGCTGTTTTGTAGACTTTGGCTAAAGAAATGGAATGTTCACACGCATTCAGGGTGTATAGATAGTTCTGGGAGGCAGATGCCTGCATATGAGCTGAAAATACAGGTACAGGCTCCTTCCCTTGGGAATTATTTTGCTGCAGGTGTTTGTACATCATGACTGTAGAGAGGTCTGTGCTGTGGCAAGCCAGCATTAGAGCAGTGAGAGCACAGCTTGAACATGGCAGTGCAAAAACTACAGGGCAGGGGTTTGCAGCTCCAGAATTAGCCTGTTAGTATTTTTTTTCCCCAGAGATAGTAGAAGAAAAAAAATCTTGTTTACTAACTTCTGGCTGGAAATTTTATTGCAGCTTGTGCCAAACTGAAAGGATGCATGTTATGTTTTCCTCATAGTAATGACATTACAAATCAGCTATTTCTAAAAAATACTAGTCCCATGAAATCAGAGATGCTGTAGTTTATTCTGAGTGGGTGGGGGATGCTGGACTGGGAGTAGATATTTGGTTAGTAACTGTCTCCAAATGAAATGCAGTTTTCCTATGCTGTGCCTTCTCAGCTCTGTTCTTAATGTAGTGTTGAAGAACAAAGAAAAGCCTTCCTTTAGCAAAAAAAAAAAATCACTTCACAGAATGACTATCTGCATATTCTTCCTCTGCAATTAATAACTAAAATCAATAGGCTGTATTTTTTTTCCTAGCACAGTGGTCAGTGATGGTTCTGTGTGTTACAGTTCACATCCTCAGTTAGAGCTGCTGTTTGATCCAGCATTATTCTTCTCTCTGCCCCCTGGGACTTGCAGCTACCAATGGGATAACTTGCAGGAACAATTAAGGCATCTCTTTCCCTGGCTGTGGAGGGAAGGACAGTGGATGGACTGGCATCAGCTTGGCAGCAGCTCTTTTATTGCATTTCTTCCTTGCTTGCTGCCCTTGCACTGGCTTTTTGTCTTGTTGAATGTGAGTGAATGTTTTTCCATTAAAATAAACAGTAAATTCCGTGTTAAGTGAGAATGAGTCCAGGCTGTTGAGTTTAGAGCTGAACTCTTGTTTAGAATTGTTTATAAATGTTTCAGCACTCTGTGTTATCAAACCCCATACACAGTGCAGACACATGTGCACAAGCCACGCTCAGGATGCCTCTGGGATTTGAGGATACCAGCACGTGGCTCTGACACATCTTGCCCTGGTGGTCTTCCTCTAAGAGTTTACATTCCAAGGCCCTCCTCTCCCCCTGTCCCACTTCCTGAATCTGATCATTGGGTCAGTTAATCTTTTTCCAATTAGAGGGCAAGTCATGGCTGCAAAATTGATCCATTCGTGGCCTTGGCTCTGGCAAGGACAGAATTTCTGCTCAGGGCCTCTCTTGGAATAGCTCTATCCCATGATTTGACATCCCATGGTTATAAGAGACAGAGCAGGTTATAAGTCCTTGCTCTGTCTGAGTTGGAGCAGGGCATGGGACATCAGTTTCTTACATTCCTGGGAGTGTTTGCATTAAAGTATTGGGTTGTTCTCTTTCCTCCGTTCACACAATGTACATTTGTTTTTGGTAATTTAGAAAAAGACACACTGATAGACTTCATAGCCCTCTGCTACAGATTGCCTGGGAGATGGAGATTCAAATCTGGGGGTGAACTGGGAAAAGCGGATGGTTCTTCAGGGATTTTCAGGTTTCTTTCTGGTTTTCAGATGACTTAGAGTTTTACCTGATGTGGAACTTTCATTTTTGCCCTAAATGGTGAAACATTTTTCTGCTTCCATCTGTCCCTTCTGATTTTAACCTGGATTTCTGATACACCACTCTCAGATGATTTTTGAATTTCTGGGTTTTGGCTGATAAGTAGCCACAAAGTTTAGACTGATAAACTGTGTTAAATCAGATGTTGCTTCTAGCCTAAATTTAGTTAATCTCATGGCCAACAGGGATCTATTATGAAGGCTGTCTATAGTGTCATTTAAGATAATTTGATTAATATTTAATCTCTTAACAATAACAAAAGTTAGAATATCTTTAATGTTTGTATACACAGTTTACTTCTGGTGGAAAAAAGTGTGTTTTAACAAACATTAGATGACTGAAGATCACTCCATCTCACAAGACAACTATACCTTCAGTAAGAGTAGAAATCAAAGGTTTCCTGTACAGAAAGAGGCTACCTCAGCAAACCTGAGTAAAATCTGAATGTTAAAGCTCTTTCAGTTTTTCCAAGGAGAATGTGGCTCTAGATGTCTCCAAAAAATTTCATTGGATGCTGGAGCTCCTGTGAAATTCTGCCTTTGTGTGTATTTTCAGTCCAATTACAAAGTCCCTCATTATCCTGGACATTCCTTGTCTAGGAATATTAAAAGGCATTGCACTACATAATTCTTAAACTCTTTTTCCCCAGGCATTTGGGATTATCTATAACAACCTCAAAAAATTATTCTGTGGAGGTATAGTTGTTAAAACAACCCAAAACAATCAGAGAGCTGAAGGAAAGGGACTCTGGAAGTACCCCTGGGAAACAGCAGGACTGTGTGAGTTCCTCCAAGTGAGTTTGGAGGGTGAGTCGCAGGATGTGAACACAGCATTGGGAACGTTCCCGGATCTTCTCCACAATCCTTTTAATGTGGTCACAGACTCCTGACTGTGGGTGAAAATAAATCTGAATTAACTTCTGAAACATGGAGACTTTAAATTTGTTGGGAAAAAGCACCGTGATTCTTGTTGTCTGTACTAATTAGTGATGACACAGCATCGAGATGGCAAACAATGAATCATTTGGATGTTCATGAAACAACATACTTTGAGTGTCACTAACATGTGGCTTTTGGGAATTCTTGAAGAAATAGAATCAGGATCCAAGGAGTATCTTTGGTGAAGCAGATTTGTTTGAAGAGGACAGTTATTCTTAATCCAGCTTCCTTTCTTATTACCAGTAATAGACAAACTACTGTTGTTCCTTGAAGGCCATCAGGTGTGTTAACAGCACATAATGGCTTTTATTATCAAACTAATCGGGCTGAGTGACCTTTGGACTAAATTATGGAGCTCCTTTGCATTCACATATGAAGTTAAATTTGATGTGTGTAGCAGCCACATGAGCTAAACCTGAGTGGTCAGGAACAAACATCCAAAGGTTGTGCATTTAATGTTAAAAAGTTGTAATTGGAGCATTTGGTTTTTGAACTTAGTAGAAATCCGGTAAGTTTCAGAAGCTTTTGAAGAACTAAACAGAAAGGTAAGACAGATTCTTTGCATGATCCAAAACTAAAGAAAATTTTTCTTTTTTTACACTTACCCAATTACACCTTAGTTTCTGGAATTCATTAATTCCTTTTCAACAATTTTCTGGACTTGTAAGATTTTAGTTTGATATCATGTAGTATTTGAATAAAGTTACAAAATCATGGAATCACAACATGGACTTGGGAGGGATCTTGAAGCTCATCCAGTTCCAACCCCCTGCCATGGGCAGGGACACCTTCCACTATCCCAGGTTGCTCCAAGCCCCATCCAACCTGAACACTTCCAGGGATGGGGCAGCCCCAGCTTCTCTGGGCAGCCTGTGCCAGGGCCTCACCACCCTCACAGAGAAGAATTTCTAGAGCCACGTATTCTTTCTTAAAATGGAATTATGTTTTCTTTTCATTTAGCATGTACCTTCTTGACATTGCATGGAATTAAATCTGGCTCCAGAAAGAGCCCAGGTAGGACTTGTTTTTCTAGCACAGCAGCTGCTCTTAATAAGTGAGAAAACTTTGCACCTTTCCAATGATTTAAAAAGCTGGTGGAGGTTTTTAAAGCAATGTTGTCTTCCTGTGGAAGTCTGATTGTGACCCTTTTGGTCAGCAGCACTGACTTCTGTTTGGTTTTGATGTTCTTTACTGGTTTTAGTGTACCAAGGTCAGAAGTGGGCATTGAATTGTTGCTTTCTGGACCACCATCTGTCTGCAGAGTAGAGCAGTGGAAACAGCAGTTTCCACTGTAAATGATCCCTGTAAATGATCTGTCTTGGTAGAAGAGTTTTTTAGGAGTTTGGAAACGTCAAGTGGCTTTTCCAAAAGCCGTGTGATCCGAAAGCTTTGTTCTTGTGCTCGCAGAGCTGTTTGTTTCCTTCCTGTGCTTACAATTAACAGATAGGAAATTTAAAATGGTAAATTCTAGAAAGTAGAGTGTCCTTCAAGCAAATGTTTTTTGAGAAGATTGTGTGTTGACTTCGAGGCTGCTGTGACACGGAGCAGCTGATGGGGAACTGAGAGCTCATGTTATTGATCTGAAACTTGTGCCTCCATGAACTTTTCATGGGAAACTTTGCTTAAGATCAGCCTGTGGTGGGGCAAAGGCTCAGTTCTCTAGGCAGTAAATCAGAGAGTAGAGCAGACAGGATGATCAGAGTAGTTGGTTTGAAAAAATTGTCCTTTTTACCTAAATATCAGTTTTTTTAATTGCATTAAAATAAGAACGTGATTATGCCTGACCTCTAATATCTGCATTTCTAAACATATTTTTATTAGAACTTGCAGGAATCGTGGGAGAAGGCAGGCTACTTCTTTGATCTTCCGGATTTCTTGTCTTGGAAAGCCACAGGTGTCACTGCAAGGTATGTTAATTATAACAATATGATTTGGTCATCCTCATCTATTTTCTTCTGTATGTTCTGCTTTAATTCATTGTGACTGGACATGCTGTTATGTACATCTGTCTGTAATTGAGTCTGCCCCAAAACATCTTGAACCTATCTCCTGCTTCCATGTGCATTCCTGAGCACAGTTGTTCCTGGGAGCAGTGTAGTTCACAGATACAGTTTGTTGCTACAAATGTCAGTTAATTGGTCTTGTGATCCATTTTGGAACAGAAATGTGATTGCTCTAGTTCCTGTGAAATACACTTTTAATAATTCTCTGAAATCTGGGGGTTTTTACAAGTTTATTGACTTTAGGGAGAATTGGAAAGAAACACTTCTTTGCCATGTGGGAGGGATCTGTTAAAATCTTGTTTACAGCGGTCACTTCACTGTAAAACACAGCAGCTGTACTGCTCCTCAAAAGCATCCTGGAATACCTCCTGAGCAGTTTAACAAAATCCTCTGAGAGAACCCCTGAAAAATCTGCATTGAAGTCACCAGCACTAGTGAAGTGTATTTGCAGATAAACAACTCCTTGTGAAAAGTGAGGGATAGTATTATTTATGGACTTACATGACCAGCTGCAGTTCACAGTTATTTCCATTGCAGCTTGTGGAGCTGAATCTGCAAAATGTAGTCTCAGATGAAAACTGATCACAGGGTAGTTTTGGTCTCTCTGGAAATGAAGATACCTTTGCATCAGACACAGTTTTTTGAGTTATTTAAGTGCTCTATTTCTCCCTAGTTAGTCTTCATGACTGACAGCTTTTGTTATAGTGTTATATATTATATATTCCCTGCATTATAGAGGAGGGAAATGCTGTGTTTGACTTAAAAGAAAAACATAGATAGTATCTCAGTCCTTCCTTTGCAGTATAACTATGAATTATGTAACAGAAGAACAACTCCCACCCCACAGATCTTGCAATCTAAGCAGTCCTGTCACCTGGACCAACTCTTCCTTCAACAGGATAAATCCCAGGTCCCAGATGATATTCCATGCAGGGTCTGCAACTCGTGAAAGTACTCAAGACTTGGATTTAGAACTAGAACCCTTTAGTCAGGGCATTAGATGGAGAACGGTCTGAAAAGGGAGGATACAGGGGTACTGATGGCTCCTTGGTCCTGCCTGGCTTTGGCTTTGTGCTCTTAGCTGCAGCTTCCTGGAGATGAAGCAGAGAACCTCTTCTAAAAACAAAAACCGTTGCAGAAGATTATACTCAAAAGTAGAGATGCCTGAATTTAGGCTGGCAAATTCATTCCCTTAGCAATGACAATTTTATTTTTGAAAAACATTTTGATTCTATTGATGAATGTTGGGAAAAGACTTTCTGGACCGAGTCCTCCCCCACCTTTGGTTGAGAGTCATCTATTTTGGATAAAATAGTTCTTTGTAGTGCCTCCTTTGCTAACTTAATGTTAAACCCATTAACGTTAAAATTAAGCCCATTGTTTTGGCTCTAGTGGAATGTCTTACAGGGTAGCAAAGCAGGAAGAAAAAGATAGGAAAATAAGGACAAGAAATGTTTTGCTGGAATCAAACCTAATTTTTTCCCCCTTTCTCTCTTTCCCCCATGCACACCTGTTTTTTTGGAATTTCCTTGTAGTTTGGTGAAGTAAAGTAATTTGCCCTGCATATGCTCATAATACAAGGGAATTGTGAATTTGTCATGTATAAGATTCTTCCCACCTTTTCTCCCTTTGAGCACAAAGGAGCCTATTCACAGGGCAAGACACAGTGTTACTCACTCTGAATCATGCAGAACTTGGCCCTGATAAAAGACAGATTTATTTTTGTAAAAATTTGTTTTGGTGATGGGGATTTTACCAAAATAAATGCAATTCCAAAGGCACTTTTATGGGAAAGACCTTGCTGCTTTAAAATTTTAAGGGGCTCTCTAAAACATTTTGTGTGTGTTTGACATTTAAAAACTGTGTGTAGTCTTTTTGCTTCAGTGAGGTCGCTCAAGAGCAGAACGTTGTGTGTGAGATGTGAATGGGACGTGTTTGAAAAGCAGTTCTTGATGGGTATTTGAGTATGAAATCCTTTCTCTTTCCCCTTTAATTTTGCTGGCTTGAACTGCCTTGTTGCCAAGGTTTTTTCCAGTAGAACTATAATAAAACCAGTAAAGACCTCTTACCTCCAAGATGGAGATTCAAATGTATTCTGAGATTTTTTTACCTACTGGCTTTGAAATTGCTCTATGTCTCACTGAACAACACCCACCCATCACTTACAGAGGATAAGTTCCAAATTGTTGATTCCCATTGTTCTTGGAAGACTGTTGCTTGTAATATTTCATATTTAAAATAGTTCTTTTTTATTGTTTCTCCTTGATGAAAGACCATTGAGTTTTTCTGAATGATCCTGACTATTATGCATTGAAAATGTTACTGACAGCTCTTTAGTTAACAAATTTAAAACTTTGGAACTTCCCAGCTTCTGCCCCCCGAGGTTGCAACAATGAAGTGTTGGTTTTGCCACTTGAACACTCAGTTGTGTTCTCTCAGAAATGCTGTGGTGGAGAGGAAGAGCTGTTCTGTCACAGACACGTTAGAAGTGCTTTGCAGAGGCTCAGCACTTCGACTTGTGGTGAGTGTGACTCACTGCTCTGCCTCCCACCATCTACAACCTCTGATAACTTTTTCTTTATATGGTGTTTTGGGTACAGCTATCTTAATAAAATCTAAACACTTATCTAGTTACAGGCTACTGTGTTATGGATGGAGAATCCAGAGATGTACATCTGTAATTTCAGTGTATTTCTGAGGTCTCGTGAGGGATTCCACTGCAGATAAGAATATGGCTGAGCTGTTCAACTGGGTGGAATTCACACACAGATTTCTCAAAGGTCATGTGTATAGACCCAGCATTCTGCTTCAGGGCCACTTCCAGTCATGAGCAACTCACAGGAAAATGAGCGAGTCTCTCCTGCATTTAAGATGAACTGTAACTAATGAGAGATTAAACCTGTGAAGGAGGATTTGGAAACATAGGGGAAAATGTCAGGCTGACATTATCGAGATAGAGAGTGTCCAACATTGTGCTGCAAGCCACCTCCCAAAATTACCAAAAAAAGTTGGAATAAAATGAATATTTGTGCAGATTCTTTTTTCCATTTTATTATCCCCTAGATATGTTAATATTTAGGGGAAAGTAATGTATTACCTAGGAGAGACTTCATCTCTTATAGGGATGTTGATGCAAATAATTTTCCTGTGGAAATAATTGTCCAGTCAGTCTTCAGCTGCTTGCCATCATGACAGGGAAAAGGGTGGAACAGATGTTTTGTATACTTTGGAGGAACTTTTCTAAATTATCTCCTTCCAACAGATCTCAGGATCATGAGTTTCTCCAGAGAAAATCAGTTTTATAGGAAAGAAATTCATGCTGTTACGGTAATTACAGACTGCAAAGTGAAGGAGAAAGGGTTGTAGTTGATTAAAAGCGTTTCTGGGAACCACGTAACCAATATTAGTCTGTATCTCTGTGAGAGGGGGTGATATCTTTTTAATATACAGTGTATTTTCAACAGGAAGATCCCTTGACTAATTGTTTTCTTTCATTTATGAGTTCCTTGGCTTGAGCACATTTAAATAGCTGACTCTTTATGTTAAGCAGTGATTGAGTCCTTAGAGTTTATTTGTCACCCGTTTTCAGTTGCTTATCATTAGGGCTTGAGATGGCTCCGTTGCACTGATGGAAACCCAGAGGACTCCTTGGATATTTCTGGGGTTGATGCAGAGTCTGCTGGGATCAATAGCAGAGATTGGTCCCTTGCTGAATCGCAGTGATGGAAGTTTTTAGTGAACCATTAAGCTGGGAAGGTGCTCTTGAATCCAAGAATCTGGATTCAGGTCTCTGCTCTGGTATATCCCCTGTGTGATTGTAGAAGTGAATTAAATCTACATCTTCAGAGGTGTTTGGGCAGCTGAACACATTTGGGGATTTCATTCTTGTTCATCCCTGTATTTGCTCTTCAGCTGTTAAATTGATATATCCACACACTCTTAGGAGGTTTCTTGCTTTTACCGCTGTGAGGTGAAATCGCTGTGTCAGTGGAGTCCTCACCAAATGTTTTATCCAGATAGGCTGGAAACTCTGAAAAGGGAGAGAGTTTGGAAGAGGAGCTTATGTTTAGAGGTGCAGTTGAAAAAACAAACTGGTGTGAGTTAAATGATTATCTGAAGGATGTCTGTGTCTTTTTAAAGGATTGGGCAATCCCTGCAGTGAGACGTGGTAACTGGACCAGTGGAGACACCCATTTTTGGGCCAGCTGCCCTTCCCTTCCTTCCCAGCCTTGCCATGACTAATGTATACCCTTTGGCTGGGCCCTGGAGTTTGACTTCTTGTTTATATTTTGTGCCTACTTCGAAAGATGGCTGGTTTAAAAATCAGGCCTCTCAGTGGAAAGAAAGGGCCAAGGGAATATTTCAGAAGGCTGTTGTGATTAGTGCTGAGCCCATGTGGCAGTGACAGTATCCTGAGCTGCACTCGAGGGTTGTGTCCTGTTTATGAAATGAAACCCAAAACTTCAGACTTGCAGACTTGTTTGGAAAAGTCTCTGGAGAAGGAAGAACTATCTTGAAGGGCTGGTTGGGAGGGGAAGAATGGTGTTTTTGTGGATTGGACAAACAAAGTACCATGGATTTCTTGTCATGGAGCCAAGAGCAAGTGTCCCTGTGATGGTATCTTTGCCAAATGAGAGAATTCTTCTGCTGTTGGGCTTTTAATAAATTCAAAACATGTTCTTTAGAGACTGGTGACACATAGGCTGATCCAGAAAATAGGAAATGTGTAGCTGGAAAAGTTATCAGGATTGTGAAGGGCAGGTGCAATGTGGGCCGTTACTGCTAGATTTTTTTTTTTTTAATTTAAAAATGATATGTCCTTGAGTATACAGAGTAACCTGAAAAAGTTCTGTGTGCTAAAGAAGAAAACTATTAGCAGGTCTCGTTAACCTTAGCCAGGAAGC